ACTGGAAGTGAGTATAAGGTACTCCCAGAGCTCTGCAGATAAAATTGTCCTCAAACAAGATAAACCGATAAAACGTTGATCATTTAGAAAAATATCTTAAGAACAAAGCCCCCAGAAGAATCTTATTAACTTTATTTTAAAAATATGTCAAGGATCTGACTACTTTTCTCTCCAACCCGCCAGGCAACCCACCTGAGAATCCCTGTACATTCTTCCGAAGTATCCCGAGAATGCCAGGTCCCAACCACTCCTCACTTAGGACACTTCTTAGGGTTATGTTTGCAGTGAGCCACCTGAAGGAATGGGGCAATGTTACCCTCCAGGATGATGAACAAGTTGGCTTACTGCTTACCACTGTAAATGAGATGGATTTCCTAATCTCAGTGTTCCTCAGCTGCAACACATGCCCACCAATTATGCAGCATTCATCTGGGTCCACCCATATTGCCTCCAAGGGACTTGGCAAGACAAGGGGAACCAACAGAAAACACAACGCTCATGCCGCTTGTTATGCCATGAGTAATAAAGTCCTTTGTCTCTGACACAAGAGTCTCATGTCTTCTGCCAGAATCTATGAAACAGTTACAGTTTAATATATTACCTTATAAGTAGGGTAAAATCAAATCTCAGACCCCTGACCCTCATCAGATATCACCCTAATCCAAGACACCACCATCTCTTATCTGGATGACTGCAATAGCTTCCTCGTTGGTCTCCCTGCCTGTGCCCCTTTGCTGTCTGTTCTCAACACAATACTCAGATGATTCTGTTAAACACGAGTCTGATTATGTCTCTTCTCTCCCTGGATTCTTATCTTATTCAGAATGAAAGTCAAAGTCTTTACTATGAGCCAAAAGGCCCAACATTATCCCTCTTGCCTGTGTCTCTGATTCCTTTCACCCTGTTCTATCTGACCTGTCCTCTTTTCCACCAGGCACACGCCTCTGCCCCTCATCGTTCACTAGGTCTGCAGGTATCTACTCACTTCCTGCAGGTACTTACTCACTTTCTCAGGAAAGCCTTCCCTGCTCATCCTACGTAAAATTTCCACAACTCAATTCTTCCTTCAACATTTCATGTTCTTCCTTGTTTTGTAGTTTTTACTTCTTAGCCCTTGTAACTTATTTTGTTTATTGTTTGTCTCCCTAAGATAAGAAATAATATCTGTGAAGGAAAGGGATTTTTTACTTCTGTATCCCCAGCATCTAGAACAGCGCCTGATATATCATAGCAATGCATATATGTTGTATGAAAGAATGGGGGCTTCCCTGGTGGTGCAGTGGTTAAGAATCCGCCTGCCAATACAGAGGACACGGATTCAAGCCCTGGTCCGGGAAGATCCCACATGCTGCGGATCAACTAAGCCCGTGCACCACAACTACTGAGCCTGCACTCTAGAGCCCGTGAGCCACAACTACTGAGCGCGCATGCTACAGCTACTGAAGCCCACATGCCTAGAGCCTGTGCTCCGCAACAAGAGAAGCCACCACAATGAGAAGCCCACGCACCACAATGAAGATCCAGTGCAGCCCAAAATAAAAATAAATACATTAAAAAAAAAAAAAAGAATGAAGAAGGCTTGTGAAAGTCACTACTGAATAACTGAATACAAAAGATTAAAAAGCTTATTCAATATCCCAACCTAGCTGAAGCAAAAGATGGACTGAGGGATGGTGGATAATTGTTTCTAAAATCTATACCAAAACTTAGTGGCTTAGGAAAAGAGCGTATTATTTCTCACAGTTCTGTGGTTTGACTGTCCTCATCTGGACAGCTCTTGATTGGTCTCTCGTGCCCTTGTGGTCAGATGGAACATGGGGCTATGGTTAGCTAACACGGGCTGGACATTCAAGACGGCTCACACATGGGACTGGTGGTTAATGCTGGTTATAGGCTGGGAGCTCAGCTGAGACTGCAGCTAGAGTGTTTATCCATGGTACCCACGGGGTCCCTGAGGAGCATCCTAAAGGCAGTGTTCCAAGGTCAGGAAGAAGCTGCCAGGCCTATGAAGCTACATCTGAAGCCATTCAGCATACCCTCTGCTATACTCTGTTGACTGGAGCAGTCACAGGGCTCACCCAGACTAAAGGAAACTGAGATATTGTCTCTACCTCCTACTGGGGATTGGAAAGAACAACGTGTCAGATACAGAGATTGTCGCAGCTATCTTTGAAAAATGTAGCCTGCCACAATGATTTTCAAAGAAGAGTGGGGACATTCCTGGCAGTCCAGTGGTTAAGACTTCACCTGCCAATGCAAGCGGTGTGGGTTCGATCAGGGAGCTAAGATCCCACATGCCTCGCAGCCAAAAATCCAAAACATAAAACAGAAGCAATATTGTAACAAATTCAATAAAGACTTTAAAAATGGTCCACATCAAAAATCTTAAGGAAAAAGAAAAACCAAAGAAGACTGAACTATGAAATCGAGGAGCACACATTTAGCAATCTTCACAGCCTGAGTAAAGACAAAAGACCCTGATTTTAGCAGAAAAGAATGTTCCATTAATTAGAAAGTTGGACTTCGCTTTGTTACAAGAGAAGTTCATGAGTTTTGTTTTTACCTGGTGTAAAGGATATTGCTCCTCAAAACCATCCACTTCCCGATGCTTTCTTTTCCCCCTTCACCAAACCACACATTTGATTCACTATTGATACCCTCTACAGAGAGTTAAAGTATTTCTTGCTTGACAGAAGAAATTAACACACTGGTATTTGGATTCACATATCCATCTTTTGTCACTTTATTCAGTGTGAATCTATTCCAGACAACCTGATCTATTCTGATCTACACAAAATCAAATTTCTCCATTTACAAAACCAGAATCCAATGACCCCACTAACAAACTACCACCTTGTGAGGGGCCATATCAACAGTCAACTGATCTTTGATGTCATATTTATCTTACTTCAACCTAAGGTTCTAGGAGTTTCAGCATGTATCATTTTTCTTATAAAGTAGAAGACAATCCTTTGGAAAAGTGTTCATTTAGACTACAGAAAACTCTATTCAGTATCAAGTGTAGTCATAGTCTACACATCTAGTAGTAGGATTTGATTCATTGAAAATTTACATTTATTGGGTTCTTACTATGTGTTAGGCATTAAATGAAATGCTTCATATGCATTATCTCCTAAGGGCATGGGTTCTACTATTCTCAGTCTCTTACAGATAAAAACCCAAAGCTACAGAAAAGTTAAAGAACTTTCTGAAAGCCACTTGGCTAGTGGTAGATGCTAAATGGCCTTATTTATTTAATCATTTCTCCACAGACTACCTCACTTTGTATTTCTTCTTGTTTGCATAGTTTCCCACTATGCAATGCTTAAGAAAATAATAATTGACTATAAAACTATTTCCATTGTCAGCGTTTAGTATGTTTTTTATTTTATGTACTATAAATATATATGTATATATAAATATATAGTTATTTATAAAATATCTATAATCATAATATATTTTAAAATCTTAAAAATAGTCTATAAAAACCCCAAATTAAAGTTAGCTTTTTAGAAATTCAGCTTTATTTGTTAATGTTGTTTACAAAAAATATTGAAAGAGAAATTCTGTTATTTCTTCATCAGAGGTAATTTAGGGTCTTTGGAAGATTAGCCTGCTTAATCTCTTTTATTTATACTCTGCTAATTTGGGGAGGAAAAGCAGATGTTTCAAAGCAGTTTAATTTAGCAAAACATTTGATTAAACTAGTTACTTATTAGTAGTAAAAATATAAAAGTTATTGGAATTAATGATATCAGTGCTCTTATAAGCTTTGATCTCCTTGTGTATGGATGTGATCTGAGAAACAGATGTGTTTGATATTTGGAAGCTCTTAGAATTTTCCCTGGTCAAGATGCTCTGATATCAGGCTGGTGAGAGGTAGGGGTTTCCCTTGACATATGGTACCCAATCATAAAAGATCCTTTATTCATAAAGCTATTTGCAGGCTTCCCTGGTGGCGCAGTGGTTAAGAATCCACCTGTCAATGCAGGGGACGTGGGTTCGAGCCCTAGTCCGGGAAGATCCCACATGCTGCGGAGCGACTAAGCACGTGCGCCACAACTACTGAGCTTGCGTGTCACAGCTACTGAAGTCTGCGTGCCTAGAGCCTGTGTTCTGCAACAAGAGAAGCCACCGCAATAAGAAACCCACGCACCACAATGAAGAGCAGCCCCCGCTCGGTACAACTAGAGAAAGCCCGCATGCAGCACCGAAGACCCAATGCAGCCATAAATAAATAAATTTATTAAAAAATAAAATAAAGCTATTTGGGGTTATGTCCTTCTTTTAAAAAATGAAAGTTTTACTAAATTACTGCAACATTAAGGTGCAGTAGCACAACTTTGGGGGGGCAGGGGAAGGTGGGATGAATTGGGAGATTGGGATTGACATAAATACACCACCGCATGTAAAACAAGATAGTTAGTGGGAACCTGCTGTATTGTGCAGGGAGCTCAGCTAGGTGCTGTGTGGTGACCTAGATGGGTGGGTTTGGGCAGGGCGGGAGGGAGGTTCAAGAGGGAGGGGATATATATATACATAAAGCTAATTCATTTTGTTGTACAGCAGAAACTATCACAACATTGTAAAGCAATTATACTCCAATAAAAATAATTGTTAAGCACACACACACACACACACACACACACACACACACACACACTGAACACAGACTCCAACTTGAAGTAGTTTCAACTGGCCAAATATTAGATAATTTGAGTATTAAAACAAAGAATGACAGGAATGGAGTATACCCTTTTTAATAAATTAGAAATCATGCAGCTACACTAAATAAATGGACAAATGAATGAATAAAACTTTCACGAGGAACGCAATATTTACAGTTTCCAAGTTTTTCCCAACAATAAAACTTCTTAATTACAAAAGAAGAAGGATTACTTTTTACAGGGAGAAACCGGCATGCACCATATTAATCAACTAATCAAAGTGAACATCATCTGTAAAACATGACCCGAAAAATAATCAAAATCATGCATTACCTGATAGGATGCAAGGAGGATGGTGCAGCATCATTTCTTCTATATTCTTGCCAGAGAACAAACTGAACCTAACAATGAGACAGAGCCAATTGAGGGGTATTCTAAAATATGTCTTTCCAAGTGTCGAAGTCATAAAGTTTAAGGAAGCATTGAGGAACTACTGCAGGCTGAAGAAATCCAGAAAGACATGACAACAAAATGCAACATGATTCTGAAGTGAATCCTCTCACTATCCAGGACATTACTAGGATGATTGGCAGACTTTAAAAGCTATGTGGATTACATGTCAATAGCGTTATCAATGTGAATTTCCTGATTTGGATGGCCGTATTGAGGTTGCATAGGAGACTGTCATTGTTTGTAGGAAATAAACACTCAAGTGTTTGGGTGTGATGTGGCATAAAGTTGTAAGTTTTGCTCAAATTACTCAGGAACAAAACATGTTTTATGTGTATTGCACTTGCAATTTTTTATAAATTTGAGATTGTTTTAAAAATACTATATATATGAGTGTGTGTATATGTATGACTGTGTGTGTGTATATATATATGTGTGTGTGTACATACATGTGTGCACACATATGTATACAACAGGATGTATTACACAGCTATAGGATTTAGTACACTTGATAACAGCTCAGGGATAGACAAATCAACAGTGAAATAGAAATGAATGCCCAGATAAGGGCCCTTGCATATACAGAAATTTGATAGCAGCGGCGTTGCCTAGCAGATCAGGGAGGAAGGAAGGTTTATTCAATAAAAGGTGCTGGGACAATTGGATGTTCAGATGGGAATTCTGGAAATGCTCCTCTGCCCTTCAAATCATCCTGTCAACTCCTCAGCGAGTCCAGGGCTTAGCCTTGGGGTAGGAAACACCCATGTGACCATTCCAGAATCCCCAAACAAGTGTTTTTTGACTTCTGATTTTTATTTTATTTATTTATTTAAAAATTAATTAATTAATTTTTGACTGCGTTGGGTCTTCGCTGCTGCGTGCTGGCTTTCTCTAGCTGCGGTGAGCGGGGGCTACTCTTCATTGCAGTGCGCGGGCTTCTCATTGTCTTGGCTTCTATTGTTGCGGAGCTCGGGCTCTAGGCGCGTGGGCCTCAGTAATTGTGGCTTGCAGGCTCAGTAGTTGTGGCACACGGGCTTAGTTGCTCCGTGGCATGTGGGATCTTCCCGGACCAGGGATCGAACCTGTGTCTCCTACATTGGCAGGCAGATTCTTAACCACTGTACCACCAGGGAAGTCCTGATGTGATTTTAAAATTTGTTTCATTTCTTAATTGATTGCCAGCATTCAAAAATAAGATATGCCATAAAACTCTAGATGGCCATTGAAAATAAATCTGCAACAAAAGTGAGCCTAGAGTCTCACATGGTGGTAACGATTTGCCCCCGTTTAGAGGGAGCACACCCCCTCTGGTTCATCATCGAACTTCTCCACGAGGTTACCTTACCAGCCGGGGCCCTCTGGACACTGGGGTTTTCTATGCAGGTCTAGACTAAAGTGTCAGTCATCACTACTTTCTAGTTATTTCAACTTTGCCCCTTTGAGGATTCTCCTTTCATCTGTCCTCCAATCAAATGTTCAAACTGCTTTCTTTCCTGAACTCTGCTGTTAATTTATGTATTCTTCCTAAAACTTAAATGACAGCTTGTATCATTTTGGGAGGAGAAGGGAAGGGCATTTTTTAATCATAGTTTCACTGAGGTATAATTCATACATCAAAAAAATCCACCCTTTTAAATTGTACAATTCAGTGGTTTTTAGTATAATCACAGAGTTGTGCAAAGATCACCCTTATCTAATTTTAGAATATTTGTATCACCCCAGAAAGAAACCTCACACCCACTAGCAGTCACTCCCCATCCCCTGTTTTTATCTCTAAAAGCATTACTCCAGCTGAAGGTATTATACTTTGGTACATACCAAAGTCATATAATTCAAGTATCAGCCAACAGGCTCTAACAGACTTTGGTGGGGAGGTGATTATCTGAACCTTCTTGGTATTTCTGCAATAAGACCCTGTAGACTCATACAATTCATCTATCCCTTCTGCTCCCAAGGCTGAATCACCTGGCAGATTAACTCTGAATCAGTGAGGTTTGATTCTGATATGTGCCTTCTTAATTCTATAAATCTCTTAGATTTTCCAGGCCCTTCCCTTCACATCTAAGTTGCTAGAGCACATTCCCTGACTCTCACTGCCCAGAGTCCTCCATGTAGGGCTCCATTCAGATTTGTCTTCCTCCCCTGGAACATTCCATGCTCCAAAATGATGACACAGTTCCCACACCATGCCCATGTCGCTAAGGTTTCTGAGGACTGAAATAATATTTTAGGAGGAAAGCAACAATCATTAACCATACTGAAATAAAGAAATCACAGCTAGTTGCATTTTGTAAATAGGAGTTCTAATTGTTGTGAAATTTTAGGCTTTGGGGCAAAATTTTATTTCCAGTGAAGTAGGCATGAATAGGCAGGTTGGCAAGATCTTTCCAGACACATCTGTAAAGCTAAAATTTTTTTCTGTATTTTTACTTGCTTCTGTAGTGCAAAGAAAAGGAACTAGAAAGTTGATAAAAGCAGGATTGGAGACCTAGGCATACAGACAGCCCTTAGCAATGCTTTTAAGGACCTCTTTCTCTAATTATAAAAGGTTATACGTGCCTAACAAGAGAACTTTTGGAGAATACAAACAAGTGTAAAAATATTTTAATCACTTTAACCCCCACCAGCTACTGTTAATATTTTGGTATGTTTCCCTCTAATCTTTCTTACTCTGGAGATGCCAATCCCTAAAACATTTTCTCTTGTTTAACTCATATGAGCTAAATTAAATTATTAACCCTGGATATAAGTACAGACCACTAACCTTAGAACTAGTTATCTTAATTTTTAAATTACTTTTTTAGATGTTTAAAAGAAATTCAAGCAAAATGCAAGAATTTATATAATTAATTTAAATTTATATAAAAATAAATGCTCGATTCAGCTACTGGAAAAATTTTAAGTATGCTTGGAACATCTTGGGTATGTGAATCCACTTTTTCAAGTGCAAAGTTTCCAGTGCAAACTAAGTATGTTGAATAAAAATTTAGCATCCCCCCCAAAAGCAAGAATTTATAAAGAAGAGAATAACAGTCACTTGTAATTCTAGTATCAAGTGCTAACCACTGGCTCTCATAATTTACATAATTCTTACTTACAGCAAGGAAAGTCCCCACTCTATTGCCTAAAACAGTGCAAGTTACTAAAAGCTAGTGTTCTGGCCAGGCACCCTTGGTGGCCTCGCCCAGATCACAGGTAACAGGGGCCACTCCACTCACAGAAGGCATTGGTAAGCTCCTGCCAATTATTTTTCTCGCAACAGAATTTAGGTAAATTTTCTCAAAGCCTCAAACAAAAGATGAAAGGGACAAGATTAAGGCATACAGAGGGCAAATGAAAAAGACCTTCCTGACAACCAGAAAGCCGAAGTCACATTGAATACGACTTAATTTGTTAATTCATCTTTAAAGCTGAAGTATAGTCATTGACATCCTATCATTAATTCCTTAAAATAACAACTCAGGTCAATTAAAGTATATGAATATGGCACTCTGAGAACCAGTGATCTGGAGATAACCATTCCATGTCATGTTCACCTTTTTTGTTTTTTTTAATTGACAGAAGTGCAGAATTTCACAAGAATGAGGAGGAAAAACCAAACATTCTTTAAGAATGATTGTTACAGAGTCTTAACAAAAACGTTCAAGAAAATCTAGAAAACCCAAGCAATGTCCTTGGCACGTTGCATTTTTTGCACTCCTTTCCCATAGTAATCAAGCATTCCCTCAGGTGTGTTCTACACTGAAAGCAGAATAATTCCCAAGTACTCCGTTGTCCCTACAACCATTACAGTAACTATGCTCTAACCTTGTAGCTACCCCGGGCTGCTCTAGGAATGCTGGGTAATAGGGAGCTGGGGAGAGAGGTGGGCTTTACCAAGAAATATTCAGCAATACACTACCAGTTCCGTGTACAGAGCACGTGGCATTCAGCAAGAACGTGGAACGTGTCATCAGTGAGATGCTAATTTCTATAAATAAAGGGGCTGTGTGTTTAACTCTTTTAAACCATATGCTATGAAAACAAATAGATTTTTCACCAAATTTTGAGAGTACGTTTGGAATGGTCTGATTTAAAATATAAACGATACAGTATGCATGATCACGCAAATTACATACGGGGGTTGAGGGAGCATAATTTTAAAGGTTTCAATTATTTACATTGTTCATATTTTGAAAAAAACGCTTTATGTTTTAAATGAAGAGGTCTCCAAATGTTCATTCATTTTCTAATACGATTAATTTCAATGTTCTCTTGGCTATAGTCATGAGAAATTATACCAGACAAAAGGCAAGCTCAACAATTAGCAGATCTTAGATTCACATCATCAAAAGCCTGAAAAGAAAATGAGAATTCTAAGTAAGTCCAAAGGTTGTCTGGAAAGGATAACCTCTTGAGGACACCTGGGAGAGGTGTGTTCTGTCAAGGACACCTGAGACTGGAGTGTGGTGTGAGGAATGGCTGACCACCCAGGGACGGGCATCTTCCAGAGCAGCTGAAACCCAGGCATGACCAGATGCCCACGTGACTGCCAATCCAGACAGGCCTGCCACGGGTAGTTAAAAGTCCAGCCTGAGGGAAAGATAAAAACAAATACCATATGCTAACACATATATATGGAATCTAAGCAAAAAAAAAAAAGGTCATGAAGAACCTAGGGGTAAGACGGGAATAAAGACACAGACCTACTAGAGAATGGACTTGAGGATATGGGGAGGGGGAAGGGTAAACTGGGACGAAGTGAGAGAGTGGCATGGACTTATATACACTACCAAATGTAAAATAGATAGCCAGTGGGAAGCAGCCGCATAGCACAGGGAGATCAGCTCCGTGCTTTGTGACCACCTAGAGGGGCGGGATAGGGAGGGTGGGAGGGAGGGAGACGCAAGAGGGAAGAGATATGGGAACATATGTATATGAATAACTGATTCACTTTGTTATAAACCAGAAA